ATCACGTGGCAGCTGTCCCTAATGGCTTGCATGACGGAGATTTCGCATGTAGATTGTAATAAAGCCATGCTTACGATGATTCGCGTGAAATAATGTCATGACAACTTAATGGGCGTGCGTGCGCGGCGTGGTGCGCGTGCTTTTGGTGCGTGCGTAGATGAACATGCGCAACCAACCTTCATTAAGAGACAGCTTTATAACCTATACTTACACCGACTGCGCGGATGTTTACATACTTTTGTGCGTTAATAAAACACATTAGAGTGTCATGAGGCAAATAATTAATTAACGGCATTGATTTAATGCTAAACATGGATATGAGTAGAAGCCATACAGACGTCTCATGAAGAAACGTTAATCGCAGTAATTGTCACCGAGGCCCTTAAGTATTGTAATTGTAAGGAAAAACGTTAGACGCCTTCATTCTACACTATGTCGATGTATCTATAAATAAATAATATTATACTACATGCTATAACCGAAATCGCTAAACTACCTCACGTGTCAGCACTGATCACACGTATCCGCTATTTGGCTCGCTCCCCACTCCACTTGATCGCTGGTGAACAGGCTAATGTCACGAATCTTTTAAACAGTATATATATATATATATATATACACACACAAAATACACATATTATATATATATATATATATATATATATATATGTGTGTGTGTGTGCGTGTGTGTGTGTATGTGCGTGTGTGTGTGTGTGTGTGTGTGCGTGCGTGTGCGTGTGCGTGTGCGTGTGCGTTGTGCGTGTGCGTGTGCGTGTGCGTGTGCGTGTGCGTGTGCGTGTGCGTGTGCGTGTGCGTCTGCGTGTGCGTGTGCGGTGCCGCCGCCGTGCGTGCGGCGTGCGTGCGTGCGTGCGTGCCGTGCGTGTGTGTGTGTGTGCGTGCGTGCGTGCGGTGCGTGGCGTGCGTGTGTGCGTGCGTGCGTGCGTGCGTGCGTGCGTGCGTGCGTGCGTGCGTGCGTGTGTGTGTGTGTTGTGTGTGTGTGTGTGTGTGCTGTGTGTGTGGTAATGTGGTATATGTGGTACGTGGGTGCGTGCGTGTGTATGCAGTGGCTAATTCCGAAATGGAATAAAATCTTACAAATATTCAAAAGAAGTGGAATCAGTGCTGAGAGCGCTATTGTTTTATGATATCAGTTAGTAAATTACTAGATATGAATGTCACACATAAGATGCAAGAATTTTCATAATAATCACACTATTGAACTTGTCATGTTTCTTTTATTTATTTACTGTTCGTCATAATAAATGTTTTCTCGCTCGTGTGTTTGGGAGACACAAGAATTTGAAAACCGAACAAACCAATGTTCCCAGATTTGACTTAACATAATTTCCCGAAGTTGCAGAAATAGCCATATCTCCTAAATACATAAGCAGCAAAATGTACAACGCTAGCTTGTTATGTAGACGTCACAGCCGCGGGCACGAAGAAGACCACGTACCCGGTCATGGACACTGACACAGAAACGAACACGGGCAGAGACACGGATCCGGTCACGGACACTAATACCAAAAGGGACACGGACACGAACACGGACAGAGACACAGACCCGGTCACGGACACTGATACCAAAACAGACAGGGACAGAGACACGGATCCGGTCACGGACGCTGGCACAAAAACGGACAAAGACAGAGACACGGATCCGGTCATGGACACTGCCACAAAAGCGGACACGGACCCGGTCATTGATACAAAAACGGACATGGACAGAGACACGGATCCGGTCACGGACACTGACACAAAAACGGACAGGGACAGAGACACGGATCCGGTCATAGACAGTGCCACAAAGGCGGACACGGACAGGGACACGGACCCGGTCATGAACACTGATACAAATACGGACACGGACAGACACACGGATCCAGTAACGGACACTGACGCGCACTCTGTACCTGTACCATGTACCTACTTTCTGAGACGTGTAGTTGGTTACTGCACCAACAACCTGTCCACTGCTCTCTTCTTCCTGTAGCAAGCCACTGTGTTGAAGAGGCACTTTATACTATAAGCTGGCTTCCCTCTCTTTAGCAAGCTGTTAGAATATCCCGGTAGCTCCAGATCCATGTCTTGTGGTCGATTCAACATGTAATATGCTCGTAGCATATTCAGATCATTCTCCTGTCGAGATTAGAAATGAATAAGATGTTTGTATTTGCGTGTGTGCGCGCGAGTCTACGCGTATACGTGCATATAATTACTAGTTGCATTTAAAACCCCCTACTTTAAATATTATACATTATAATTCTGTCGGCTTTATCGTTACCTCTTAGCCGAGGCCACCTGCCTCGAGCCACAGTGCAGACTATCCGTCTAAATCACATTAACACCCGATATGGTTTACGTTAGCATTCACAGAATTATAAATTAAAGCTAATGAAATCACTGGTAAAATTGAGTGTCACTTGATTACTACGCAACGTCATCTCGGTTAACACTAAGCGATTACTATACGTTCTTGGAGTTAAATGCTTACAAATGCTCGTAATGGTGAAAGGTTAAAGGAAATTGCATTGTCGTGTCCGCATACCCGTAAATACTACTTTCCTGAATTGGATTAAAATTTTGGGATGCTAAGTAATCGGTCCTGAATTTAAAACGCCATTATATTAATCATATGCGAAAGGTGTCTGTTCACGTTATACCGTTATATCTTCTGGCCACGTTACTTCAGCATATCTGATATCTTATATTATAGCTTATATATACGCGCACATCTGTGCGTCACAAGCGCGAGTGCGTGTATGCGCGCGGCGCTAGTGTGTGCGCACATGCGTTTGTGCGTGCGTTTGTGCGTGCGTAGGTGTGTGAGGGGGTGCGTAGGTGTGTGAGGGGGTGCGCGCGTGTTTCTATGCGTGCATGTTTCCGCGTACGGGAGTGTGTTTAAATGCTGACGAGTACCCGTGTGTGTCTGTGGGTCTGTGTCTGCCGTTCGATAATAACCAATATATTTAATATATTATGTATTTTGTGTAGCTATGTATTCCTTTTGTAGAAAGCAAAATATCAATTCAATCAATCTTAAAACTATTCATCTATGCAATACGCGCCGCAAGACACGTCTCGAATGTAGATTACTTGCATTGCTGTTAATTGTATCGCAATTTGTATTCTATGCAAATTAACCTGGATCCGTAAAGCAAATAGAGAATCCGCGTGGACGCGTGGCCAGTAATAATCATATTATTTTCTGGCCAAATTGTTAGGTTTTAGAAATTCATTTTAGGTAAAAATACAATATTTTAAATTGTTATACCAGAAGTTTCTAATAAACCATTTAGATTATATTCTCGTCTTGGTTTTTTTCTTCCTGATATTACTTATAGCTGTGGACACACTACGCGATTTTTCATGCGATCGAGCCAGCCGGCTCAGTCGGGCGACTCTGTAGACACACTACGTATACGCGACTGAGTCGGGCGACTCTGTGGATTTTCAGCACCCTGATTGACTGATGAATTGTACAATCGGCCGACTCGATCGCAGACCCGGGCACACTACGCGATTGTAGCCGGGCGACTCAAATAATTATCAAACATGTTTGAATCGGGCGACTCGGCCGGCCGATTCGAAAATCGATGCTACTCACTGGACACACTACGCGATTTTTTATGCGATCGAGCCGGCCGGCTCGGTCGGCCGGCTCGATCGCATGAAAAATCGCCTAGTGTGTCCACCCCTTATGACAACATTATTAATGCGTGGTTGCTCGGACAACGTATGCTGACCTCGAAAATTAATGTTGCCCGAGACCGGACATTAAATGGGTCTGTTCACAAAAGTCCATGTTGCCCCAATAAGTATGTAATAATGGTATATCATTTAAAACACTATAATAAAGTAAAACTCTATGTTGGCAGAGAAACCAAGCAATAACTGTTTTGTTTTAATTATATAAAATTAGAAGTAAATAATTTTTAAGTATAGGAGAGTATGACATGCCGAAAGGAAACGACGAGAATTTCATCTATTAGACCTAGTCTGCATGTGACTCATTATGTTTTACTATACTAGTGAACTCGCGTAACTACAAATGAAACACATTAACCTACAGATCACCTTAAACATTCAATAGTACTTGTCTCTAATCGTTTTGCCATATATGATCACAATCCAGAGAAAGGGGAATCTAAGACTACCGTGGCCGAGGTATGGACTAACTATATGACCACGCCGACTAATCGACAACCCGACAGTTACATCTGACGTATCATCTATGGCAAACATTATTATGAGGTTCGGCAATAAAATTGGCAATTTTCCAGATGTTTTAGGTGCAGATCATTGTTGTAGTATCGTATCACAGCCAAACTGCTAACAGTGATTATGATTTGGTAGCCATATTTCCAGTCATTTATTTTCATATTTATCCGCCTCCGCAGCCTCATCACCTGTCTATATAGTACTACCACATCTCCCTCACAATGGTAAGAAAATTAGCAATATCACAAATATCACAAAAATTACAAATAAGCATATGACATATAAGCAATTAACATACAAGCAATTACGAAATACGAATCATATACCCAATACACTGTTCTTCTTTCTTCTTTTAACATAAACAGAATGTATATATGCATAGCCGCATGGGTGCTTGCACTTCGTGGGTCATAACGCGAGTTATATAACTTCAATTACATGTATTCATATATATGTATGCCTATATGTAATAAGTATGCAACCTTTACTACACCAACGTCTATTTAAGTCTACGTCAACATATATTTTTAACAACAACGGGCTGGTTTTTGACTGACACGTCCAGAACGTGTTCGATATACTTCTGTTTCATTACCCGCCGTGTGATCTAGCACCTTGTCTTGTTCCCTTTGATCTGTACTCTCTGTTTTATTTGGTTCTACCAGGAAAGGCATCTGCGAGATGTCTCTCAAATGCACTCTATTTCTCCTAAGTTGGGTGCCATTTGGTGTGGTGACAACATAAAACCGGGCCTAGGGTTCGTTACACACTTTAGTTATCTGTGCTGGAATCCATATGTGGGATTCTTTGTCTAGAAATTGAACGTTTAGTCCTATGAAGAGTGGTCGGAGTTCTTGCTTGTTTTCAGCCGCTTCATAATTCCTCCTCATTCGTTCCCTACGCTGCTCCAGGAGTTCCTGGTTCCGTTGTATCTTGTACGTTGTGTTGGAATCTAGGTTAGCTGGGAGTCGTGTTCGGACCTGCCGACCAAACAACATTTTGGCTGGGGAAGAAAGATGGGCGTCTACTGGAGTGCTTCTCAGATTCAGTAGAGCAGCTGCTGAGCTTTCCCTGTTGCCTGTGTCTTTCTTATAATTTCTTTTACTGTTTGGACCATTTTCTCCACCAGACCATTCGATTGGGGGTATCGTGGCGAGGAAGTTGTGTGCGTGATTCCCTATTCTTTGCACATCTGCTGAAACGCTGCACCAACAAACTGTGGGCCATTGTCTGACATCACCTCTGTGGGAGATCCCAGAAGGCTAAATATTTCAGTTATTGCATTAGCCACACCTGCGCTGGTTGTCGAAGCCAATCGGTGTACACATGGAAATTTTGAATGCTAATCCACCATTATAAGGTATTGTACCCTGTCCAACTCAAACAGATCCATGCCAATTTTGGACTATGTCGTAATGGGGATTTCATGAGGAAGAAGTGGTTTCCTTTTCTGCTGAGGCATGTGCTCTTGGCACTGTTTGCATTTCCTGACAAGTTCATCAATGTGACGATTGATGTTTGGCCAGTAAACAGACTGGCGTGCCAGAAATCTCATTTTATCGATGCCTGGATGCCCACTGTGCAGTTGCTGCAGAATGTCCGTCCTCGTGGATTGGGGCACAATCACTTGTCTGCCCTTGAAGATAACCCCATTTGACATGCCTAGTTTATCACGAAACGGTCAGTAAAGGCGTAATTCGTTTGGCAGCTCCTGAATGGTTGCGGGCCAATCAGTGTGGGTGAACTCTTTCACTTGCTGCAGGACAGGATCTTGGGTGGTCTCTTTCTGTAGAGCTTGTTGCTTGAGGATCCAAAAATAGAGCAAATCAATGCCAAACGTGTCCTCAAGTCAACTTCATCCAGTAGTACTCCTTCTACATGGACATCAAGTAGAACATCTTCTGTTCGCAGTGGATTAGGCAATCTGCTGAGCGTATCAGGAATGATCATCTCTGTTCCTGGGCGGTGTTCAATGGTAAAGTTGTACCTTTGAATCTTCCCGAGACGCCTTTGTAGTCGGGGCGGAGCACTTGTGAGTGGCTTGGCGCATATTGTCACAAGGGGTTTGGGGTTAGTCAACACCTTGAAGTCTCTTCCAAAAAGGTAAGTAAGGAATCTAGTAATCCCAAGTCGAGACCCAGCGTCTTCCTCTCAATATTGGAGTATTGAGCTTGGCAAGGCGAGAGACTTTTTGAGGTATATGCCACAGGCTTTTCCTGTTGTGATAGGCATGCTCCTAACCCTTTCGATGAGGCGTCTACCTTAAGGGTGACAGGTATCTTAGGAGTATAGTACTTCAGCGAGCTGTCCTGCTGAACTGCTTTCCTTAGTTGGCAGTATGCTTCCTGGTGGTCTTCTTGCCACAGGAACGAAACATCTTTCTTTAATAGATTTCGCAAGATAGCGACCTGATCTGCATAATTAGGGATGTAGGGAGACAAAAAGTTCATCATGCCCAGAAACCTCTGGAGATCTTCCTTGTCCTGTGGGGTAGGCATTGCGTGGATGTCTTTGACCTTGCAGAGATCTGGACTGATTCCAGCTTCCGAGTAGATCGTTCCGAAGAAATTGATCGATTTTGCTTTCACCACGCATTTGCTGCTGTTGACCAGTAGTCCCTCCTTTGCTGCTCTCTCAAACAGTTTCACAAGGTTGCGGTCATGCTCTGCTTCTGTACTACCCATCACGACAACATCATCTGCAATGCACACACAACCCGAGACTTGCCCTATTATCTTAACCATTCTTTGTTGGAAGACATCCTGGCTTGTAGAAAGCTCAAAAGGTAGACGCAGAAAACAGTATCTGCCGAATGGAGTACGAAATGTGGTCAATTCTTGCGAGTCCTCGATCACTAAGCTAAGATGCACGGACCAATAGCCTGACTTTGGCGTCTAGCTTGGTGAAATACTTCCCGT